ACTCATCAAATACACAATCCGAAGGCACACACAGGTACGTGCAACCTGAATCGGGAAGACTTACTCGATTTCTGGACAGCGTGGATGATCCACCACCATCATTAGCGGATTCAATAACGATATCCGCCTTGCTCGTTTTGCTCTGAATCCCAGAGGATTTGGCAGAGGTAGTGAGTGGAAAATCTGCCTTGAATAGGCCGGGGACATCAGGGATACCGGCACCACTGCCCAAGGCATACTCATCCGCTGCCACAACCGTTTGGAGTGAACTAGCACTACTGCCCGTGGTCGAGCTGGTATTTGTGGCGGCTGGAGTTCATGAACCGATGGGCAGCAGTAGGACAAATAAGGTTAGTCGGTTAATCAGGATGCGGAAAAAAAGAGAGAATGGATGAATCATTTAATGCTTTTGTCGTAAAAAGTGGAAAAGGGGATTTACTTGGTCTACAGTTACAATAAATGAATAGAATAAGGCGTGCAAAATTAACAAAATCTATTGCAGATCACCTTCGCAGATACAATGAAAGTTCCTTTTTTGTGCTGTTTTCGGTTGTTTACTTTGCCTGTTCAATAAATAAATAAAAACATCGGTGAACGAAACCCTAAGCATCAACCAGACACTGGCAGTAAGGAACAAGAGAGTGAATATAACAATGTAGTCAATCAGTGGATACACGAATTTGACTGTTCACCAAAGTCAGTCAAATCATCCATGCACTTTAAATTAAGTATGCCATTTCGACAGAACGCATTTTAAGTAACCAAGACAGAGAAATCAAACACGATGAGCAGCAACGAATAAACCCAAAACACATTATGTTCAACAACTCGAAAAGGAATATTTTTTCACCTCAAAAGCAACGGAAATCAGTTGAAAAATGTACGAAACAGAAATAGAAATAGGATAAACCAGTATTTATTTGATGAGATAACTACAATCGTGGTCTCATTACCTGAACAAGTGCAAAGTTATGAACAATTCAGCTATCGAGTAGGTGATCAAACTGCGACATGGGGCAACCTATTCCTGGAAGGAAAAAGATATGCAATCTGCTGTTCTGTTTGCCGTTTTTGTTAGTCCAAAGGGTGCAGTACGAAGCGGGCAGCACTAAGGGGAAAATTTCATTACCTGTAGAGGCCGTCGAAACCGTCGGACCACGTTTGCCAGTCTTCGCTGCTGCCACGGCTTCTTTGCCAGTATGAGCGACTGTTTCTTTTGTGCTATTACCCTCAACCCGGCCGGCACTTTGACCCGTGGTCTCCTCTGTTGATGGGGTCTGCCGAAACAAATAGCTGTGCTGTGGACACGAAGCCATCTCAGCAATCAAGTCAGTTGGAACGTAGGTTGCACTGGCAGACGGATTTGACACTCCAGTGAGCACAGAGAGAGGAACCACGGTTGGTTGAGATCTGCTGGCGATCTGACGGTTAAGCGTTCACGGGAAGTTACAATTATGTAAAAAATACAGGATTTAGCACATTGGGAAATGACCAAAACAGAATTATGGTAATTATGGTAAATGGACTGAAATCAGAATGTGGACAGTATAAACTCTTGGAAATGCCTGAAAGTCATGAGATAAGTATAGGTGCATTCCGTCTATTTCCATGGAGCTGTTGTTGACTAATTGAAAAGTTATACAAATACAAACACAAGTGCAGTGCTGTAGGTAGCAAATAGAACATTCTTTCGAGCTCAATACCAGTGTTTTAAATCCACTGACTAGAAGATGAACAAGGTTACAGAGAATCAAACACTTCGTCTGACATCCTTGACCCAACAGATGCCTTTGCCGCGCATCTAGTGTCAACATGAGTGCAAGAAACTGTTTTCAAGTGGTAGGTTAGCTTCTTTCCGTTCGAGTAAGGACATGGCTGACAAATGAAACTACTCAGTTAATTTACTGGAGCACGGCTGCCAATCTGACTTCGCTGGTATTCGTCGCGACTAAGGAGGGTTCTCCCATCATCGGTAACTTCAGCCTCCGATGTTTTTTTGCATGCTGAACTTCTGATACCCATCGGAGGCGATATTCTCTCTTGAGGAAAACAATTATACTGGTTCTACAATGGTGATAAAACTTTTGGCGAACCAGCTGTTGTAGGTCGTACAGCCTAAGAATCGTCTCGAAAACTCTTTTGATATTTAAAATTCAAACTGCTTTAACATCAGGGTTTTTCCGGAACGTGGTAGGTGGCACTTGGCCACTTCCAAATGTATGGTTAAGTAAGGTCATTGTCCAACTCCAACACGTTTATTCGAAGGCCAGGTTTCTGGATTCACTACAGTACAAATTGAAAAAGCTCTCGGCTCTTGTACGAGTATCGATGATAGTGCTGTTGCCATACACCACCACCTCAGGAACACAGTAAGAAGGTGAACGAAAGTGGTGGACCAGATGGTTCAAACGGCATTATTTAATACGATCTCTCGCCGACTATGTTTGCCCCCCCCAACCCGCGTTCCCCAGGTCAGTTATCAGGATAGGCGCTCGCCAATAACCCAAACGTAAGTATACACACTGCAGTTCGTCAAGAACGTATTCCACAAACGGGGTAGAGAACCAGTTTGCGTACGGCCACAACGTTTAACTAACAACATAGCACCAAAATTTTTCACTGAGGGAATTTAAGAAACTTCAAGCTCAAAGACATGCTGGTTCACTAAACAGAGTCTTTGGTAAATTCTACCGCACAATGAATAAGGCATTTATTCATTCATTCATTCCAGTACATACATCGAAATACTTGGAACCTTTGGTAGTTTTGCATTAATTAATTTCGTTTTTTATATAACTGGGCCAATTTTCAAAAAGATGTTGCCTTCTTCTTAGATTGCTGCACGGATGAAATGCACAGGAGCTAAATCTGAGTGACAAAGAGTTGAACACGTAATTTGAAACCGTGGTTGCGTCCTCAAGGATTGACGGTCACATGGTCTCACATATTGTTCAAGGGCTTGGCAACTAAGTTCAGTTCTTACAACCAATAATCATGCACTTTCGTGCGCCGGTTTTGGTTTCTGTCTTTTGGTTGCCCATTTTGGATAAAAAAGCACAATGAAGATCGGAATGTTAACAGCAGACTCAAGCGAAAGACAGCACATTTTCATAGACTGAAGTTACAAGAATAATGATTATATGCATGAACGCTGTTTGAGACACCCAGCCATATTGCTCAGTGTCTCTAACCATCGATGACCATGATCTCTGGGTCCCCAGCCAGGGAGCCTAACGGGATCTATGTGAGTCAGTCTCCTGGTCAGGGTTTTCATACCCTCGTGCCAGGTCTAGCTTGACCGCCCTTCACTTTTTTCTAACCGCTACCTGCCGCGGCAAACATCGATTGCCGTGGCAACCTATCTGGCGACAAACGTAACACATGTCCTAACCAGCGTAATCTACGGAGGTCGACTACCTGTTCCAGTGGACGATCGCGATTACCTAAAACTCTATGCCTCACCTCAGCATTGCTCGTCCGGTTTCCCCACCAGACTCGGGCAATGCTACGTAGACAGCGGTTTTTGAATACCGACAATCTATTATCTTACTACTACAACTACTCATGGATTCCACTATCTGCTGGCATTCCGAGTCGTAATGAGAAAACAAAGACCGGTGTTCCAGGGGCGCACACCAAACTTTCATGACAGAATAGCCAAATGGCTTTGTTCTGATTACAAACATCAAAAATCTACAAAAGCGATCCACGTATTGAATAAACCCATCCATGAAATCAGTGAGCGAACTAAACGAAATATGGTTAACAACGGACGACGCAGTTAAAAGAGTAATCAAACACTGAATATTACCAAAAATTTGTGCTGGAATGGATGTACGGAAGGTAAAGGACAGAAATAAGATTATATTGATGGGATAGTTCGGTGTACACTTTAAGTCAAGCAAGTCAAGGAATCGCTTTATCCACTCTAGCGGTGGATATTTAGCAACATGTTTGAACCTTATCTATGTGACTCTGATAAGTGAGTTACCAATACGCTTTTAGACGCGTTTTAGCGGGGTCAAGAAGAAAGACAAAAGATATCTGTTTTATTAATTTTCCGTAGCATAACGTTGGTTAAATTTCAAGTAATTCAATTGAAAACGTTTCTTGGAACCATAAAACATGTGTAGCGATTTGTGCTCTACAAAAATTTGTCTCGGCGCTCAAGCTCCTCTGTATCATCTTCCACCTTCGAGTAATCTTGATCATAGAACCAATTTGCCAACAACTGCGTGGTCATTGTGAATCACACACCCGGTCTCATTCTAGCGTTGTGAGATACTACTCACAAGTGAGTAGTAGGTAACATAGTTTGGGACTTATTACGACGATCAAAAATTTAACAAGATCACCGAGGGAAAATTGCTGTATCTCAAAGAACAATTATCGATTGCTACATTTACTATCCGTTGTACGGCCAGGAACTGCGATGCTATTTTTCTGCTGAGATTTCGGTGTTATTTGTGCCAAATTAGTGATGTCCAAACTGCAATCCTCAATAAACGACTATCCTCGACTGAGACCGCCTTTTGGAATGATAACACTAGTAGTCCATGATCAAATTTTCTCTTACCAAAGACAATTTTCTTCACAATTAGTCATATCTATACGTATCGATGTGGTGGTATGATTAAGAACCACTGAAAAAGAGTCTGTTCGTCACTCAGTGTTTTGTTTGAACGATCTTATTTCAAGTAAGAAATCAGAACTAAATGAAAAAGCGGTACTTTTATCATCGTGGAGCGTAGCGAAACCCCTTACCGATACTCCGGAAGCAAGCAGAGACGCTACTGAGGGAGTAGCAGCAACCAAGGTACCCACTCCGGATGAGAGCAGATTCATATTTGACCCGGGGCCAATGCTTGGTTGAGTCGAACCAGTCAAAAGAGCAGCACACTCTGGACCAATCAGATTTGTGCTTCCGTCAGAATCTGTAACGATTCCGCTGGTTTCATTCGAACCTTGTCCAAGCGGATCCTGAATTGCAGATGCGGAGGAGACGGATACAGCAGCAGACACCGTTGTGCCTGCACTCGAACCGGCAGAAATCGACAGAGGAACTGTGGAATGAGTGAACAGTTCAACTAGACTGATTGCTGGATCCCGACTCACGTAAAGCTGTGTATCACGGGCTGCACCTATGAAAAGCGAAGAGATAGGCAACTTCATGGAACGAGGGACGCAAAACGTATCTCAATCTGAAAAAGGTGATGGCAGTAGAAACAAGAACGCTTACACCGGCCTCTCCTGAATGTTCCTTCATTCGTGGTTCTATTTCATTATGATAAGTTAGGGGAAATAATGGTTCTAATTACAGTTTATTTATTTTTGAAGCTACTCAATACAGCAACTTCAATAATTGAACCATCCGGTTGAATAGAAAAATCAAATTACCTCCGATTACGGATCCATCGGTGCGACTGAGAGAAAAAAACGGTTTATTAAGGCTATAACTGGGTCGTGCATTAAAGAACACCGCTTTGGTGCAGATAAGCATGATCATATTCAGGGTTTATTAGGATCGAAAGCAAACAGAATTTAAACTCATATAAAAAGAACAAGAACAAACATTAGTGGCAAAACTGGAATACTCCTTTTATATAGAATTAAGAAAACCGTACTGGGGAGTAAACAATCGTTTTCTGCAATTAGACTTTCACAAATCATGTATAAAGAGACAGTTATCTGCACAGGATGATAGGTATCAATGGGGTTGTAAGTGTGAATACTGAGCATGACTAAAGTGATAACCACCCGCTTGAGACTCCGAAATCCTCAGTACGGTCGGAAGTGGATGTCCAGGGTTGCGGCTGGTCACTTGTTCCTTGCACCTTGCGAAATGCTCCCATACGACCAAGCGTCTCAAATAGCTTCTGCTGAGGAAGCCCTAATCACTGTCTTTTCGTGGCGAGGTTTTCCTAACAAAGGAGAGGAGGAATAGCTGACATCCGGGGCTATAATCGGGTTGGTGGATCACTGGTAGTTTAGCTAGGGGAGTTGGCCAAAAACCCTGATTCCAAACCAACCANGTCCCGGTTGTAGCAGTGGTTATCGGTTCAATAAGTATCGATGTGTATTGGGTACCTTGGACGTTTGACCCCGTTCAAAGGGCGTATGATCCAATAAACTGGACACCGGACCTCAATGGATTGCGGTTTTTACACACCACCCTGCTGCCTTGTAGGTCAAGCCTTGGTTAGCCGAAAGCTCCGGTTGTGAACTCCTCAATAAAATTCACCTGCCTTTGTCAGGGCAACCTGGCAGTATTCGGCCCACATGCAAATCATGGAGCGTCCTTCTTTTTAGAAAGATTATTGTACCATGATTTCTTTGGAACACAGTCTGGCATCAAATGGGTGTGAAGTATAATATCACACCCACTTGCTCTACTCAACGTTTCATGCACAAAACGTACTGGGTTAGGTACAGAAGCTGTAATTTGACGGGACAGGATACCATTTGTCCCCCTTTCTCTCACACACACAAAGGCACTGGAAAAACGTCTCATCAGCATCATTTAAACACGAACACCGTCTCTTATTCTTTTATCACGGTCGCAGACATAATGACCCACAACCCAACCAATTGCTGGGAGCCTTCAAATATTCCCATCCCTCACCTGATCAGCACGAACAGATTGGAAGCGATTGTCAGCACTCTAGCACTCTAGCACTCTATCTGGTTGGTGTAGAACAAAAACAAGAAAATCAGCGCGGAATTGCATTTGTATTTCACAAGTATATTTTTCTCGTTTCGTTTTCTTATCGACATAAAATGAAAGATTGGGGCAGTTAAACAAAGTGATCATGTTCATACAGTGTTTTTTCATTTGTGCGACTGGTAAAAATCAGGATAACAATCAGCAAGATTCCCACATCTACCTGACCGCGATTTGATATTGTAGCAACGAACTGAGAAACCTCAGTTTCGAAAAACGTAAACAGTTTCAAACACCATCTACTCAGATAATTATCGGCGACTTGCCAACCTACGCACCCAAATTCAGCATTATATGTGCAAGATTTGTGTACGTACCCGAATCCAACGGATAGTCAGTGCGCCCCACAGTTGACAAGCTGGGAATAACAGCTCGTGTACCAGGCATGACAGCTACAGCCGAATCCAAACTGGATACGTTTTCCGCACCGACCCCCGGGACAAGAACCAATGGGGTGTGAAGAGATAGTAGAGCTGGCTGGGTGGCTTGTCCAGTCATTGTGGACGCTTCGGGAATAGGCTGAGTCACACTTGATCGGTTTCCGGTCATTGCAGCTGCGTACGATTTACCTCGCGATCGAGTCATGGTTGCTACAACAGATTCATCAAGGAATTCTTTGGCCACGTGACGACGACCGGGCAGTGTGCGCATTCGGAGGGAGCTGTGGCCTTTTGAAACGAAAAAAAACGGAAGGACAAACTTGAAGTTTTGAATTGTAAGCCGTTGTGTTAGAAATGCGAGATTAAGATGAATCATGCAATGTTCTTTCTTGTAAATTACTATTTAGGGGTTGTTTTTAACTGTGAAACACAGACCGAAATCATTTTCTATGCCATTCTAAATCATGCAACAGCCATTGTAAACTAACTCGTATATTGAGAACTATAAATATATTTTATCGACGTGAACAGCAAAGCCTCTTTAACTTTATTCAGAGCATCATCGACAACGCGAGTGTGCGGATCAATTCAGAAACCCACTAGCAGCACAAAAGCTTACTACCCAATAAACGATTGAACAAACGGGCAGACTATTTCCCAACCTTCCCAGACAATAAAGCACAATGCATTCTAGTATGCCCAATCACAATGTATTTAAACTTTAGCTTACATGGGTTATGACTCAGTCGAAAACATTCTGAAGAAGACTGCCACACTGAAGGAAAAATAGACACCTTGGGCTGTTGATCCCGTCGGAACGGCGTGTGATACGATGAAGTGGACACAGGTTTCAAGCGGACTGCGGTTTTCCCACCGCCTCGCTGCCTTGCGGGTCAGGTTTCGACCAGTCAAAGGCTCGGGTTGTACATTCGAAAAGAAAAGTCACCTTGCCTTGGTCTGGGCAACCTGGAAGTATTTTGTCTACAAGAAACTCATGGAACTTTTTTATTAAGACTTTTGCACTGTGACTTGTTTGCACCCAGTCTGAACTCGCTCGGGTGTCGAAAATTCTTTAATGATCTATCTTTTATAAAGTTGTCCGGATGCGTGCACCTAACGACTGTGTTTGTTATTCATTTGTCGTGAACAAATTTCATATAAACATGCTGTGTAATAGCCACAATCAAGAACACTCTGTTCCAAGAATGCAGTAAACGCAGCAATAGAAAGGAATCACATGATGACGGCAATACAGTAATCGGACAGAAAATGTATGCTTCAAGGGAGAAGAAATCACGCACCTCCGCTAGGTAGAAGATTGCTGGTAGTTTTGAGTGTTGCATCGGTAGAAGCCAGAAAACTGGCACTGGTAGTCCCCGGTTGTTGCGGTGCCAGACGAACGTATGCTACAGGAGGACTGGATGTTCCGTCAGACGGACTTGAAAGGAGGCCAGCTGCATTGGCAGAAATAAGAATGGGCGCTCCACCCAACACCGTTGATTCTGTCAGAGGGGACTGGCCATAAGTAACGTTTGTATTCACTCCGCCTGCTATTACATAACGGGGAATGGGATAGCTTGTGGGGCATATGCTAGATGCTCCGTGCATCCCCATTTCGGAGGCAGTGCCAGGAGAAATTCCTGCACTCGAGGGACTTATGTAGAGCTGTTTTTGTGGAAAAAACAATAAATATGCATTATTACTCATTTTCAATGGGGTGTTAACATAAGTCAAGAATAAAACAAAATGAGTGTCAGCCGCAAAATCAAAATCTTATCGATTAAGCTAGTTGATGAACTAGAGCTGTATTCAAGCAAGCCTACGAAAGCTTCAGTATGGTCTAGGGTGGGGGGGATTGGGTTGTGGCCGGTCACCCTTCCGTTGCATTTCACGAAATGCTGCAATACACTGATGCGTCTCCAACAGCTTCTGCTGATGAAGCCCTACTGAACGCCTTGTCGTGGCGAGGTGTTTTCCCACCAAAGTGATAGGGAGAAAAGCCAACATCCGGGATTACAACCGGGTCTGGCAGCAACCTAGGGGAATTGGCCCNCAAGCCAAGAAGAGGCGTACGAACTAAGCCCACCCAGACCTTTGTCGTTGTAGCAGTGGTCACAGCCACAATTGTACATGGAGGTATATTGGGCACCTTGGACGTTTGACCCCGTCCGAATGGCGTGTGATCCAATGAACTGGACACCAGCCCCCCCACCCCGCAATGGATNCCAACTCCCTGTCTTGCGGATCAGACTTTGGTTAGCCGAAGGCTCCGGTTATGAATTCCCCAAGAAAATTCACCCGTTTTGACCTGGACAACTTAGCGATATCGTGCTCTCGAGCATACCACAGACATTCTACTTTTTATTAAGTTTATTGTACCATGATTTGTTTGGCACACAGTCTGGATTCAGAAGCGTGTGAAATACACACATTAACACAAAATTACGCTTGTCTTGCAGTAACAATACTACGATAACACTATATTATCTCGTCCAATTCGGGATATGCACTATGATGGGGAACGAAAAGAAACGTGCACTTGAGTCCACCGACTTCAGTATCATATGATTAAATTTACTATAAACATTTCGGCAAATCCTAGCAAATCCTAGTAAAAAAGGCGCACGCAATCAAAAGTAGAATCATGTCGGAGCCTACGTGGCAGGGTTTTTTACGAATAGCTTTTTTAGTTTCATCAAAACGTTTAGGGTGAAAATAAATACACGTAAAACACATGTTCAACATTTTCACTCAACCGACTTCCGACCACAAAATAAAAACCAGGACGGAAAACTACTAACCTGGGATGGAGGTCTTTGATCACCTGATTGTTGCTTCGTTTCTGATTCCGCATGTGTCGGCAACAGCTCAATTAGTTCTGGATCCTCCGGAGATCCGGGACGAAGATAACTGTTCTGACTGGCATTTCTGGAACACTTAGAAGCGGTTTCCTAAAAATGAAAACATAAGAATCAAGGTATGAAATCCATTATCCGGAAAAAGCGTATTATCAGGACACAGTGGATGACCCACGTACACCACAACAACGCATGCTTCACCCAGTACGACACATGCTAGAGTGCACAAATGGACAGAAAAGTGAATGAAGTGTATAACCAGTGACAATGGTCACGCAGTCCACCACGTGATCCTAGGGATTCTCCATGCTTGGCAGCGATCAGTGAAGTTTGCTTCACTGTATCTCGCTGTACGATGATCATGATGATAAGGGGGAGGAGGAGGAGGGATTCTCTATCGAAGTACCAACATTTTCAATCAAGTTCTCACTATTTTGGTTACAATCATCGTCATTCATCTCAAAAAGATAACTTTACAACCTCAATTACACCAATAGAATTCTAGTGGAAACCCCACACAGTGATTGGTGCTTTAGTTGACCCGTACCACCGATCGGACCAGATCTATCAGACTCCCGTCCAGCCGGAATGAACTTTTTCACCATTGAGAAACAGAACCATGATTAAGTGAGTCACGGAGCGAGGATGAAAATCTCGGCGGGATAGGGTCTGACTGCTCGTCCGCCAACCCAAGAACGTTATGTTCTTGACCATTGATCAAGTGAGTTTTCAGCAAAAATAAATGAACTCGACGATAACAGGTCAGATAAGGAAGCGCATCACGTTGAGATAGCTCAATAAATCGTTCACATGTTCAGACGTGAATCTTTACATGCGTGTAGGCGTGGTTTCAGATTAGGCCCTCAGTTTCAGTTTCAGTCTGAACAACCATTAACCACGCATATTCGAGGGATTAGGCCCTCGATAACCTAGTGAGTAAACTTCAGTGAGGTGAAAAAAATTTCCTCAAACAACACATTCTTTCGAACCAAACGCAATAACCTATATATTTTCAGCATTAAAATGCACACCTGACAAGATACTTAACAAGGGAATATGGATACAGCAAAAGAATCGACAATATCTCACTTAAATAGTACGATTTATTGTGAACTAATTCTTAGGCTAACAGAAACTGTATTTCAGTGTGATTCCGTAATTACACTGTATCACAATGACCATAGCAACAACCTGTCATTTTTAGATTTTCCCTTTGTTACTCAGTCTCATCGCGCACGTTCTAATGCCTGTCGTATCGCTTCACTGCCTGATTACATCTTTGTGACCCTTATATTTCAGTGAGTGAAACATGTGGTGATAAGAACAACTCACAGTTATCCATGATTCTTCAAAGGATGATAGCTTTGCACCGGGTGCTTCATGGGGTATTAAGTTGGGATAAGTACATTGCTCGACCTACAGTTGCCTTAATATGGATTAGCAAATTTCATCAACATGAGGAAGAATTGCCTTTACAGAAGAATCCACGGTTTGCAAGAGCTGCGTACATTTGTGGCTCAATGTTCCTTTGTTAGGGACGATACATGTATTCAAAAAAAAATGTAGCTAGTCTGATTCGTGGTGAGAAGTTCTGTATCTCTGTGCTGTGTGCCATCCAATACCAGAAATCCGTAAAAAAGTTGCATTTGGTTCAAAGCAATCTTTGTTATTCGGGAAACATTCGCCTCAATGGAATCTACTCACTAGAATAGTGAAGGTATAGACTGAACCAACTCATGCAATAATTCATTCAAACACTCAATTCTGAGCATGATGATCGATTCGCCGATCCATCTTGATGTGATTCGCTTCCTTACTCGGTCGACCGAGGGTTTCATCATCCTCGTCCAAAGCTTACTCAATTGCCGGTCAAGAAATAAAGTTCTCGAGGCGAACAGTCAAATCCCACACCTTCGATGCTTTCATTCTCGCTCTGTAGCAAGACCAAAAAGTAGTTTTGCGATGTATTCCGACTGAACGGCGATTTGATAGCCCCGATCATTTCAATTTTAATCCCTCTAGCATGTAAAAACCCATCATCGCGAGGGTGTTTATGAGGTATTGTTCGCAAAACTATTTGTTTGATCACGAATTGTTCGCTGTGACTTCATTGCTTCCTCATAGTTAACGCTGATCGGAAGACCTGCAGAACTTAACACTTCCGTTTAGCATTTTTTTTAGCTACGCTCTCAAAAGCAGATTGTGATTGGATACATCAACAAGTTTCTGATTTGATTTAGACAAACCACCAAAGTTCTCTTGTTCCCGCGTCTTCCCACTGAGCTGCTTGCGAGGTCGGCATTCAATCAGCGAAAGACCGATCACCATCAGAGGTACTATCTCAGGTACATGTGAAATGATTCAGCAACCGTCTAAATATTCAGTTCGTGACAAAACTGGAGTTTAATGCGTTGTGAGGGCTTGTGTGTGAGAGTCAGATCGAACTTCGAGCCCGCAGACAGCGGGTAAAACAGAGCTAACACCTGTAAACCCACAAGGCCGTCGTTGGACTTGTGAGTAAAGTGAATCGGGTTACACAGAACGAGGCGTCTCATCAAAACAGAGTAATCATTCCTTCCCATTTTCTTCGACAAGCCATTACAGTAAACCAGTACTTCCCTTAAGTGAAGGTTTAAGTAACCACATACCATGAAAAAAAATTTATTAACTCCTTCGGGTATCGCCGTTTCAAAGTGGATGAAGATAAAGCGCCAGAAAGGTTATGTAAATGTCACCAAAATAATGACACCATATGGGCCTGTTGTTACCATTTTGATTCACGACTGGCGTTAAGTGTAAATGTCATCGTAAACACTCATCTACACAATCAACTATTTGCTCATATCTGATGCAAAACCCAACATGAAAATAGCAAAAAGCGTGGATAAGACTTGCAACCGAACACTCTTTTATACGCATACAATGACCGTTCTGTCGTTCCAACTCTGGACACAGAGAAACCCACAACAAGAAAACCGAAGAAACACAAAGCCAATCGCCAAAAGGAAACAAACGATGACCATATGGATTGTTGTGGGTGATTTTACACGAGTTTCTTGCGAAGAAGAAACAGGATAATGAAGAAACAAGTTCCGTTCCTAAAACGATTTTGCCAATAGGTTATTCGGGTGACAAAACAACAATCATGATCACGAAAACAATATGCGTGCACAAAGGGACTTTATTGACATGCTTTCCGCATGCATTTGAAACAAAATTAGTGACAAAGGATTTACCTCGGGCGGCAATGTGATATAATACACTGAAAATTGAATTAAGAATACAGCTTTAAAGCTTTCGTTATTTCAAGGCAAATATACATCACGGGCTTAGGGCGGGGGGCATTATACCAGAGCCACAACAATTCACATGTCTTCCAAAGATGCCACCTTACAGTTTTTTCTCCTGTATAAATGATTATGATTTTTTTCGCATCGCTTACTGTTTCGTCTTGAGTCACTGTGTTCAATTTCTTCACTTCATCCTTTCATGGTTCTTATGGTTTTTTTGTCTACTTGAAATATTGCGTTCTATCCCACACCAGACTTCAAAGTATTTCAACCTTTCTGGTACCAGATCTTGTCGACCTTGAAAACAGCTAGCTTTATTTTCTGGCTTTTTTCACCCCAGTTTCTTAAGTCGACTACTTGATCAAACGAGCATTCGCAACACTGGTTTTCGTAAGCCCCGAAACGTAAATTTGTGGTCAACGTTCTGCCCCAGGACAGCTGTATTGTAGACTCCCCTCTGCTGTCTGCAATCTTCAACTCCTCAGATTCCGGAGGTACAAACTAGACTTATTCCTTATATTTTTATCTTTATTTTCTTTCCTTTTATAATGAATGCACGGTTGTATGAACGATTTTTCACGAATGCAGGAGCAGCCCATCGAGTAACTGTCATGTAATACAAAGACAAGAAAATTGGGGCAACGGTGCTGGGGCTAGAACACTTGACCTACGGGATGAAAAGTTGATGACCACCACCGTTGGTGCCGTTGTGAATAGTCCCTTTATACATATCACAATAAAATCGTATATCCGCTGATTTTCGGAGTAATCCTATCGGTAGTGGGTCAAAATTATTTTGTCAATGAGAATCGTTAAATTTTTATTTCTGCCACCAATGTATATCACTTACAAACAACTACAAAACTAAAATATGGTAATTTATTAGAGGCAATATGGTGTATTTGTTCAAAACGTCAAAGGAAAAATCTAGAGATTCTTCGAAAGAACGGAAATTTGCTTACCAATATTTGAAACAGCAAAACACCGCAAATGCTTGCCAAATAATAATTGATAACCTAGACTGTGGAGGTTTTATATCGTAAACGATAGACCTCTCCTCGGTTTTAGATTTATTCGAATGCAAACAATAAACAGGTATTCATGAAGTATTTTTCATTTTTAAAACAATTTTCTTTCAGCAATTCCCGGGAAAGACAGACAGCGGACTTGGGATAGAATTCACGGCTCCCAGACAATTCTTATGATAAATGTTACCACCTGACCACCGCAGCACAGTATTACTATGGGAACTTAGCTCTTACTCTTTTCCATACTGTGTTGCACAAAAGTGATCCTGTTTGTAACTAATAACATTTCAATATGGGCCAATGATATAGACCGAAGTGTATTTACATATGCCTACCACTTTGTTGGAATAAACAAGTTACTGCCTAACGAGACCAACAATAAAAAGAATGAATTAACAAACCACAATGACAATGAATAAAACACTGAAATCACATACCGGCGTCCGTTAGTTGTGCCTCATCTTCCCATTTTTGACTCTTCAACCACCAGCATGAAAATATGATAGACACAACAAACACGACAAGAACCAAAGCAGCGACGGTAACAAACAATAGCTGAAGATATATCTTCTCTTCTTCTCCAGTAGACTTGACAGCTAGCTCAGCCATGCGAGAGTACTGTGTATGAAGAATAACATCACACTAGTCAGCTGTGACACATACCAATTCCACATAAACAGCATCATCAGTGTTTCTTATGAGGTAGTTTATCTTTTGATTAGAATACAATCCGTTGGTTACATTTATAAGTATTTGAAACTTGTCCACAGGAGATTCCGCTACTTCTATAGCACCCTAAAAGAAAGAGGAAATAAAATATTAAGCACAGTTTGGAACGTTGATTAAAATTCACTGAACTGAATTATAACAGCAAGTTTGTAAGCGATCACTGATGGTTTGTGACTTATTATCCTCAAAGTATCAAAATATTACTGAAAAAATCAGGTATCTTTATTTTAAGTTATTGCTTTAACTTAATTTTGTGACACACCTTCATCTGCAATAAAAAATATCACATTTCATTTTTTATTGAACGAAATAATATATATTTACTGTCTAGAAAGGAGTCGGCAGCAACTAAAAATATCCTGGGGACGAAAAGCGATGGCGGCAGAATTTAAAAACATGACCGCTTCTCTGAAAACTGGAGCATGCTGATACTTCCATCGTTATTATTAAATGTACTATTCGGCAATGCCCCTTCCTGTCTCAAACTTTTTTATTACGTTTTAACAACCAAGATACTGATGATACAGAGTATATGACTTTAAAATTAGGCAACCATTGGAGTTCTTCTGTTGGTATTTAAAAATAAAAAAAATTGAACTTATTTGCCCATCAAACGTAAATAATCCATTAGTTATCAATTGAATGACTTATAACCGTCCCATTGCATTATCTGTTTCCACGGTTAAAATGATGGGTTTATCTGCCTGAACATTTCGATTACTTTTGTGGGTTTTTTACATGCTTAACGATTGAGACAGTTATTTCTTCAACGATAAAACTCAATGTAGTCGACATTGAACAAAATTTATGATATTATGCTCCAGTTTATCTGAAGAAACCCGAAAAATTTAACTCTGTTTTCAAAGGACTGGCATCCATAATTAGCTTACCCATAAAATTCCGCAAAGTTCACACAGCGCGTATTATCAATACATAACTGTTCGATGGACAGTAGAAAAATAAAATAACGAGTGTCAGAAACTGTTGTTTGGTGGTGAACCGATAATCTTGGAATGCGGTGTAAAACCACAAAGGTCCCCGTAAGAACGATGCGGCACGGAGTTGGGTGGTGGTGGTGGCGCAGTAGTTTAGTCGCTGTCAGTGGTACTTTTTGCATCCTATGGTCAAATCAATCGGTTTACGGTGGGAGGTGGGAATACTTTATTTGTGTGTGGCCCGAGGTTTGGGAACCACCACCGCCACCCAACTTTAGTGGTAGGCAGCTCTGCCGTTGTCCGGTTCCATACAACATCTAACCTATCGGGGACTTATGTGGTTCGCCATTCCAAATCCCAGGGTTTAGGTTGCCGGTTTCTAAGACCGAACAGAAGGTCCTCGTGTCTATGAAGGTTACCCCATCTGCTGTTCATCACACTTAGGTGTGTAATAAAACAATTTGATGCAAACTATGTATGGAGAAAAAGGTGAATGACAGTAGTAGGTTTCAAACCTTTGATTTTGTACACTAGTAAATCCAAGTGATTTCGAAGTTAACGGTGGTAACAACTGCATTATCACTATCATCATACAGCAAACTACAGGAAACAGAACTCTGCTGATAAACGTCAAGCTCACAACGTTTACAGATAAGCACTACATTTGAAGTTAGGAAAGAAGGGAACTTACAAGAGATGTTTCAATGACGTTCGGAGGATTCATGATATTCAACTAATCGATAAAGTTCGAAAGTTCTAATGAACAAGATATTTTCACGTGGATTTTTTAAACAACGGTGCTGGAAATGTGTAGTTATTTTTTATTACACACCATTGTGCTAAGGGCAGTGGATGCGGTAAACCTCAAAGTCACGAAGACTTGCTGCTCGCTTATGTGAATTAAGAACTCAAACTCTGAGGCTTGAAATAATCCACCCCATGACTTCTCAATTGAATGGAGGAAGTATTCATCAAAGCGGCAGAAAAACGTTTGATCACAGAAGTCGCGTGATAGTCATGGGGTTTGAACGCTGGAGTCTAGAGTGCATCAGTAGCAACGAGTAAAATCGAGTGGCTAACAAAAAACCTACTAAAAATGATTGGTAACAAAACTTCTCCATCAGTTAGATATCGCGGAATGCTTGAAACATCACAACTCTTAATCGAATTACTTACGTTATATCTTACATTGCTTGGTCAAGCGGTACACCGAAACCCGGCTTGATGTATATCTTTGTTTTTTGGGTTGTGCGTACCGACATTTGGCTTTCAGCCATTCACTTTAGTCAAACCTATACAGCCAAATTGCTTAAGAGGGTTCCAAAATGAGTACTGAATTTGATCATATGCATTCAACATACGGAAATTTTTAAATTTCCTATAAAAAATAACTCAAACGAGTGTAATCCATCATTTGTTGCATAGGGCTATTTTCCTTTTCATATACTAGATAGCATTAAGTGATCCATTTTCGGTTGCTTCAATACAGTAAATGCGCAATTTGTAAAACTGTTTTTCTTTGGTTTTATTACTGTATTTATGGCCACAACGAAGTACTTTGATACAGTAACTTTAAAGCTATTGAGTTATTTTCACGATTGCGTGCAATGATCACGGTGATTGTGAGGCCAACCAAATGATATAACATGTGAAAATGTCCGATTTTACCAAGTAGTTATTGTGAACGTCACTAAAAATCACTATCCTGTTCACGCGAATACACGCGTATAACTTATTTATGTTACTTAGGTGACTCAACTCAGTGACGCATCGACGAGTTTCGTGCTGTGGTAAGTATCACAGCTGGATGGCGCGTTTCCAAAAAGGGTGGTAAATATTTATGCCCGCTTACCGGACCGGCTTAC